GCTTGAGGTATTCGGCCAATCACAACGCACTGGACAGCTGGCCAACCAGAGCACACCTCGCTTTTCAGACCGATGAGCTTTAGAAAAATTGCCGCGTTTCAGAAAGGCAGGGCATAGAGGAGAAACAATAATGTACAGTATGTGGAAAATATTTTTTTTTTTTACCTTAACCCACATAAACACATTTCATTACACCAAATACACAAAATAATGTTCTTTTTTAGCAACATCATATGACCCCTTTAAGGCAGCAGAACTGTCAGTTTTTTATTGACCTCTGTGCTGTTCTGGTCTAATTTCAATCGGATATTTCTTCATACTGTGTGCGTACATTTTGAAAAACTAGGTTAAAAAAATAAGGTTCATTAGTTAAACATTAGTTAATGTATTAACTAACATGAACTAACCACGAGCAATACATTTGTTACTGTATTTACTAATCTACGCTAACGTTAGTTAATAAAAATACAGATGTTCACTGTTAGTTCATGTTAGTTCACGGTGCATTAACTAATGTTAACAATATTTTAATAATGTATTAGTAAATGTTGAAATTAACAGTAACAAAAATTAATAAACGCTGTATAAGTGCAGTTCATTATTAGTTCATGTTAACTAATGTAGTTAACTAATGAACCTTATTGTAAAGTGTTACCACTGCACCTTAAACTTCCACACATAACAAGGTTCCATAGACAAGTCAATGTTTAATTTAAAGTTTTCCTGGTTAACAAATTAAACATACAGCCTGCAAACGTCTTTGATAAAATGCACATGAATTCTGAGGTAAAATTTTGTTTAACAAATATGATCTACTGTATTTGAATATAAATGTAACATACATAACATGAGGGAAAAGCAGACCATAAAACTGTCACATGTCCACAGCACATCTCAAACAGACTCAATCTGAGATAAAGAAGAGAACCATTTAGCAGGTATTAATAACACAGAAATCATATTTTTTATTTATTTAATGATATATTTTATAGCTAGCTATGCTTATATAGATAATATATTATAAGAAGGGTTATTGTGAAAAATCGTCTACTTTGGACACTGTAAAATATATTTGATTACAAATTACTAAATACGACTGAAAAAAACAACACTCAATTATACAATTGTCTGTACTATTTACAGAAACAGAAGTGCCATTTTATGAATGAACAACTGTGCTTTAGCAATCTATTATTCCAGCATCATCAATTTTGAATTTGCATACATGTAAATTTGTTTTACTTTTTAGCTAAACCAAACTTTATTGACTTCAAAGAATAGTTAAACAAAAATACATTTTGAATGCGATGGTAACAATTTATAGTAAGAGCCCATTAGTTAATGTTAGTTAATGCATTAAAAAATATAAATTAAAATGAGCAATACATTTTTTACAGATTTATTAAACTTTAATATAATAAATGCTACACACCACTGCAGCATCTGTTAGATCCCAGTCATCATCACACACTCTTCCCCACTGACCATCATGAAGAAACATTTATAATGGTATGCATTTAAAATTGGTATGCGTTCAAATATTTAAAATTATTTTAAATATGAATGTGCAAATGTGCTCGTTTGTCCAGAGGAGCTCCGCCCACTGCACCATGGCTGAGGGTGAGCTTATTGTGTATCTGGGACTGCTGGACTTTGAAGGGGACCTAATAGACTGGGAGGCAGATATATGCGCGGACATGCCCATTCTCCTCCCACCTTCCTCAGACTTACCATTCTGCCCTGAACTGTCTGCCAGCCCTGTCATTTCCATGTGTGACGCGCTCCCAATGCTGGGAGTCGCGATTTGGTGTGTGTGGGCAGCGCACACCAGCCCTGAGAGCCCGGAGGCTCAGAAATGTACACCCACCCTCCCGCTCCTGCTTCCTCCACCGCTGTCGTCTGGCAGCCACTCTGCTCACCCTCAGCCTACCATCTGTTCGGTGCGAGCACCGTCTGCCAGTCTCCATCATCGGCATGGCTGGAGAATCCCTTGTCTCCGCCTCCAGCCTCTGAGTCCCAGACTCCACCTCGACCCATCGGCTCCACTATGGCCCCTAGCTCCCTCCTCTCCGACGTGGCCCGGCAGTCCACCAGCTCCGCCTTGGTCTGTCGTCGACCATCCGTCGCCTCGGGACTCCACTCCTCCGGCTGCGCCTCGCCCCTCCGTCCCTCTTGCTCTGTCAGGCTCCTCCTTCTCTTTGGCTCCTCCTCGGTCCGATTGCTCCGGCTCCACCGCGGCCTTCTGAATCCCCGCGTCCGCCTTGGTCGCCTGAGCCATTTGCTCTGTCTTGGCCCTCTGGATCCTCCCCGTCGCCCTTGCTCATCGGCTCTCCGTCTCTGCCTCAGGCTCCTTCACCTGCTCTGCCTGGAGCGGGTGCGAGTAGGACCCCGGGGGGTTACACTAGTATGACAATGACTTTCGAAAGTAACAAGCTTCCACAAACAAAGGCTCTTTGTTTCATCTCATGTTTTCCGTTAAACAAATTAGACACACATCCAATCTTTCATGCAGCAAACCACACGTGAATTCCAAAGAAATTTTGTTTAACAAATATGATATCTATTTTACATAAAACTGTAACATATACGGCAGAAAAACACAAGTACATGTCACATATACACAGCACTTTTCAAACAGACAGACGAAGAAGAGAACCATTTAGCAGGTATTAACATATAAATCATATTTATATTGTTATAATATAATATATATTTGATTACAATATGACTAAACACAATTAGAAAAACTCACTTATACAATTAGAAAATTATCTTACAGTAGGTGTTTAGAATTTTTACAGTTACTTGATTACACTGTAAAAAATGCTTTGAAACCTTATAGGCTGAATACAATAGATTATTATTATTATTAATTCAGAAAGTAGTGTAGAACATAAGACAAAGCAATGAATGTACATGAACATGAATAATATATCATATCTAATATATTTCTAGCCGCTATGCTGTGGTTCATGCAACTCTTTCTGCTTCTAGGTAAGAGCATTATGCTATACACTGAAACAAATCTTGGTCACCAATTTTGTTATATTTTCAGCACAATAAAAGCAATAAATGTCTCAGAACTATAAGTAAAATTACATTTTAATAATCTGCATCTTTGACTCTATTGCATGCATAGGTTTTACAATTCCCACTAGTACAGACAATATCAGACTGATAAATGGCACTAACTCCTGTTCTGGACGAGTGGAGGTTCTCCGTGGTGGTCAGTGGGGAACAGTGTGTGATGATGGCTGGGATCTAACAGACGCTGCAGTGGTGTGTAGAGAGATGGGCTGTGGGAATGCGATCGAGGCAAAGAGTGCTGCTTATTTCGGCCAGGGATCAGGACCAATATGGATGGATGATGTGAATTGTACTGGCACTGAGTCTTCACTGATGAACTGTAGGACAGGTGGATGGGGAACACATAACTGCCACCATTCCCACGATTCTGGGGTCATTTGTAACTGTGAGCCAAAAATATTCATTTGTACGTTCGTAAAATTGCATGTTTTCCTTATTTAAGGAATGACCCAAGAGAGTTAAATAGAACAATACTGTAATTGTTTAATCTAACACAATGTGTTCTTGTTGAAATAAGCTAATAGTAAAATACACAATGATATGGGAGTAAAAACAACTTGTATTTTTATTATCTGTGTGAATAGTAACTGTCAGGTTGGTAAATGGTGACAACTCCTGTTCTGGACGAGTGGAGGTTCTTCATAATGGAATATGGGGAACAGTGTGTGATGATGGCTGGGATCTAACAGACGCTGCAGTGGTGTGTAGAGAGATGGGCTGTGGGAATGCGATCGAGGCAAAGAGTGTTGCTTATTTGGGCCAGGGATCAGGACAAATATGGATGGATGATGTGAATTGTACTGGCACTGAGTCTTCACTGATGAACTGTAGGACAGGTGGATGGGGAACACATAACTGCCAACATTCCCATGATTCTGGAGTCATTTGTAACTGTGAGCCAAAAATATTCATTTGTACATTCGTAAAATTGCATGTTTTCCTTTTTTAAGGAATGACCCAAGAGAGTTAAATAGAACAATACTGTAATTGTTTAATCTAACACAATGTGTTCTTGTTGAAATAAGCTAATAGTAAAATACACAATGATATGGGAGTAAAAACAACTTGTATTTTTATTATCTGTGTGAATAGTAACTGTCAGGTTGGTAAATGGTGACAACTCCTGTTCTGGGCGAGTGGAGGTTCTTCGTGACGGTCAGTGGGGAACAGTGTGTGATGATGGCTGGAATCTAACAGACGCTGCAGTGGTGTGTAGAGA